TCATCAACCCCGCTTCAATGTCGAATTTATGTGGGGATGCGTGCGAAATAATTAAATGTTCCGCAGCAGTTGCAGCTGCAAAATTAACGATTTTTCGCCTAGGGTTTTAAACGCACCTATTAACCATACGATAAGCGTATAGTTATCATTTCATAAGCGCTGTATTTTAAAATATACAAATCCAGAAATTCTTCTCCCGGAAAAAAAATTTGCGAAAAATCATAGACGCGCATTTTTAAAATAAATTAAACAAGTGATTAAAAAAATTGTATGTAGAATAAAATAGCTGCGCGTTTAATTATGTTTCTCAAACACACCTAACCTAAACACAGAATCATGAATGCAGTTTACTTGAATCTATATCTAACCTGATGCTCTCTGAAGAAAGAATTTCATAAAACTGCAATTTGTTCAATTTACCAACGGAAGAGTTCCGCACGTGACAAGCACTACAAAAAGGAATGAAATAATAAAACGCGCATTTTTCCTGGATTCCATAACGCATGCGACGCTGTGCATAATGCCGTTCTGAATTATATTCGATATAGATATCTACAGCAATTTTCAAAAATACATGAATAAGGCTTTGGATACGAAATACAAAATAAAAGGCAAATAAGAGCCAAAGCGCAGAAATTAGGCGCAAAAATTAATATTTATTGCAATACATTACAAGGATTGCGAGAGCGCGCAATAAAACGATCAAATCATAGGATAATGCGATTAACTTAACGAAAGGCTTCGTGATACATCTATCAGGATTAATAAATAAATAAAATTTTAAAGCGCAACTTATCTTATAATTAAATCGTTGATATATATTGAAGCTTTGTCTATCTTTTCACGTCTTAAATATTTTCTTTGAAAGTCTGCGCAAAAATGCGCCAGGAGTATTATATATTTTCTTCTACAATTAAGAGACGATCGATAACTTTATTAATGATTCTTTTAGTCGCGATATATTGTTTAGATTATATAAAATTTATTAAATTCTGTAATAGAGTATATCGATTATTAATGAAAAATATCGCGTGATTAATCGTCACTAAACAGGCTTGTTTGGTCTAGAAATTTCTAATAAATTTTTTATTATATGAATATTTTGAACATTTTCTTATAATGCCACATAATAAATAATTTTGTATTAAATTCTAAATTATATTTTGTATTATATTTTTTGTAATATAATTAATTTTCTCTCTCTCTCTCTCTCTCATGTTACACATAGCATACATATGTGTATTGTAAAAAATATTTTAATTAAAAATTTGACACAAATGCATTGTTTAAAAATAATGTATTTATTATTTTTTATATTACAAATACATGGCCAAGATACATGGCAAATAGAATTATGTCAGAAACTGCGCAAAATTAAGGACTTTTCCTTATCAATATAAGACATTTATCAGAATTCGCCCCGTTCTGTCACACGAAAGCAACATCGATTTCTTGGATTTGGATGCTCAATAGTAGTCCGGGCACGAATCTCTCGCGTCACACCCTGTCGGTTTCTCGACCCTTGTCTCGAGTCCTTTTCAAAGGACTGTCGCATCGTGTCATTCTAGAAGATGTCATTTTCTCTCCTCCGCACGCTTTCGTTTTTATTTTGCCGCAGAAAAATCTCGGTTTTACTCATCACCAATCGAGCGATTTTAATGTCTCTCCAGGACACCAGTATTTCATGATTAATACGTTCCTCGATAAAAAATAACTTACCCCTGTCACAAAGATATCTTTCTTAGACGTCTGCTAAATAAAAATCAAGCGTTGGAGAAGCTTTCGCTACTAAAGATTCTCAGAATTCTTAAGAAAATTATTACAGAAATATCTAACAGTAAGCCAGATGCAAGAGATTCTATATATCTTTGATAAATATTGTTTTAAATTTTCCAATTTATCACTAATAAAATTTTTTATTTTCTTGACAAATAAAATATAAACGGAAGATTCTTAAATTTTCGAACTGTTTTATTCGCTTCATAAACGCTCTTATATTCTTGGACTTGGAGTCCTATTCTTGGAGTTCTCAAAGCCATTGCTCCTTGAAATCTTATTGTTAGATTGACGCGCGCTTGTCATTTCAACGGTGTCCTTGAGTTTTTGCACGAACGAGTCCTAGGAAAAGTTGCGTCCTTGTGTCGCAAACGAGAAGCGGATATCCCGCTCGACGGCTTTGTGGCCGGAGGCGACCAATTTCCACCCCCTCGAGGAGCCGTACGACGCTTCTCGCGTTGACTTTGCAAATATTTAACCGCTCCCCGGTCCTTCGTCCTCAGCCACTTCGCCGTCCAATTATTCCTCGTATCTACCCGAGCGATAAAGTCGCGTGCTCCTGATTTTTCTTCGGGAAAAAAATTGTCAGAAAATTAACCCTTCGTTAGGCCATAAAATAGGAAATTATAGTTCTTAATATACAAGTAGCGATGTACTACGCTATGAAAATGTGACATATGAATGATATATAACATATAAAGTTAAACAAGACGCTCTATATTTCCAAGTTGGCGCACTAACGTGCTGTACCAAGGGATGACACTATATTAAAGGATTCGTTCGATCGCGATATTCCGAAAGCGAGGAATAATGTTGCGAGATAATTCACGTGGCTTTGGCGCGCCAGGAAAGAGTTTGTTAACGAGCGTAACTACGCGGTAAAGTGTGAAGGGGCGATGCTGAATGCAAGAGCGAAGCGGAATTTCGCGAGAGAAGAAACTCTTTGCGCAGCTGCGCCCAGTTTCCGGAAATTCTCGTTAAAAAGTTCCCCCATTTCCATTGCCGTTCCTGCATTTTCCGTTGTCCATCGAGCGGTGATTCCTCTCGCTGCAAATCGGAAAATACGATTTACTCGCGCACGCGAATCAATTGTCAAATAAATTCCGCTAATTTAGCGTATTGTTATTTATAGACAGCAACATTTACATCCTGCGTTGATTTACTAATCACTAATTTGTGGGGAGAATTACAAAACTGACGAACTCTTATTGATCCGTGCATTTTTTACAGTTAATTAATATATCAGATTGGAGAATCATATCAAAATTAACAAAATGATTTCCATGCACCGTTCTTTAAAATTATTATAGAAGTTGCCTCTCTCGCACACAAACACACACACACATACACACACCCGATAATCACGCAATAAGCAAGATATGTTTTGCTCGAATTAATTTAACATTTGACAATATTTGTTATAAATTAAAACTAATAACAAATACACAAATTATATAACCATAATTAAAAACAAATAATAATTAACAATAAATAATATAACAAATAAAATTTGCTTTATAATTTTGTTAAAATGACGATAGATTGGTGATACCATTTAATAATTAATAATGAGAAAAAAAATACGCGAAGAAATAGAAAATCAGATATACAATAACAGTGGTCCCATCGTGTTGATTGCTAAAATAAATGGACCACTTTTAAATAACAGACTATAGGAGAATCCAATAGTGATGAATTACCTGCGCGTTCGAAAAGAAGAGATGTAGAGTTCAAAACACAAGAGAGGGATCGCGGCATCGAGCCGAAGGTACAGCGGCGCGTCTCACAATCCCGGACTCGAACCAACAACTCTCGCCGGTCGGTGAGGGAGGATCGATCTCTCCTGCCCTATCGACCACGCCGGGGTTGCACTTCCGCCCATGTCCCGTGCTCAAGGGAGCGACGCATGCGCAGCCGGTGGCTAACGTCGTCGCCTGACGCCAGTCTGTCGGGGGTCGAAGTGTCGGCTACATCGGGTCGGTTGGTTTTCCTCGCATACAACCGCGGCGTCCCAGAGCGGCGCTCTCACCCTCTTTCGCGGTAATACCTGCGCGCCCACCCCTCTCGCGATCCCGTCACGCGAGATTTGTCGCGGTGCATCGACCAGGTTGTCGTCGACGAACGTGTAACGGTGCCAAAGGAAGGGTGGTAGATTGCGAACCCAAGGGTGGAAAGGGACGAGAGGGTTAGCTCGCCGAGGGAAGAAACGCGGGGTGGTAGGGGGGAGGGGGGGATAGCACCGCTTTGCTCTTGGCTCGATCCTCGCTTACCACCTTTCCCGACGGATTTTTCGTTTGCGCCGCTTCACGGGGGCGGCCGTGTATCTCACGCTTCTCCAGCAAGCGGGAACCTTGGTCCGGTTCGCGCAGTTCGACGAAACTTGAAATTAGTTCGGCGCGTCCGATAAATCGGCGTTATCGGAAAACGATTTACCCTCCCCGACTTGACAAAGTTTGAAGAAATATACCCGCCGGACCGGGCTGGTTGGCGGGGGAGGAGAAAGCCGGTGGATGATCCTCGCGAAGGGAATCCTCTTACAATAGTGCTCGGTCCGCCGTGATGAAGGAACGATGATCGCGCGCGTGACTTTGCGAATCCAAGTGTTTTGTTGTGCCGACGATCGGGGATCGTCGATCTCAGTGATCGATCGGAAAAGTGCGAGTCTGACGGAGTAAACGACAGGGATGATCCTAATTTCTATCTCTGTCTACGAGTGTCCATCTAGGAAGTTTGCCGTTGATCAGCAGTGCGATTTTAATTCAATTAGAGATTAATCAAATATTCGAGCTGTTGACTTTGCAGCAATAGCATTGCGTCTCTTCGGGAAGATTTGCATTTTTCGCCGAAGGGATACTGGAAGACTTAAATACAAGAGCGACGCATTTCTCGAACGTATTTCTCGAGCAAGAAGCTGTGCTTCTTTTATTTCAACAACGACGGCGCGCGTGATTTTACGCCCTTTAAGCTAAACAGACGAAGCAGCTGAAGAATTTTCAGTAGTATTTTTATCGACCACATAGAAAAATTGAAGATCTTTAACGCAAACAACAGTTCCACGCGCCACATGTTTTCATTGAAAACTGGAAAAATATCAGTTTCTTCTTTAGCCACGACATTATTTTTCTCGGCGAATTAGCTTCAAAAAGAGATTGTTTGTTGAAAAATTGCATCGGCAAATGTTCCATATGATCGGGAGATTAGTTTGATAAAATGCGACTTTCATTAATTGTTCCGATTAAACATTCAATGGTAAACTTACAACGATCTCTCTTACGTGTAGAAAATCTACATTGTTCAGTGAACCGACGAAACAAGACGGTAAATTTGCAGATGGTTAATGTTTGCAGCTCGATAACGAAGCAAATGATAATTAAGTCTAAAAGACAACAGGAATGTTTTTAATGAAGATACATTGATTGATCTTTACCATCGCGTCAACGATATATTTATATTTCTACGATAATTCTAGTCGGACATCCAACTAAGTATGACTAAAAAGATCTAATACAGAGTAATTACAATTTCCGCAACTCTTTTAGATCGTCGAAATAAAGGAAGATTTATAACTCGGAATGTTTTTCAGTCTATACAAGTTTCGCAGTCTTCCTTAGATCAATTGTGTGTGCGTTGAAGTAGATAATCGAGGACGTAATTTATTTTTTTCTGGATTATTTAAATAAAAAAAAAATACATTGGAAGGATCATGGAGAATCTACAATATTTCATCGGCCACATATGGATTATTTATGCTCGAGAAGATTTAATTAAAAACAATAGTATTCCTCCGTTTTAAACTATATTTTAAAATCATTGAAAAAAAATAGGACCAGGACATTTATTTAAAATAAAGGTTTCAAAGAAGCTATTTTGTAAGATAAGAACAACTTGTGTCAGTGCTTCTACTTTTTATCAAGATTACCTCCAATATATTGAGTCCAGCAAGATCTAACAGTCATCAAACTCTATCTCGAAGAAGATTGATGCATCCAGGAGGTGAATCGGCTTGCGAGAGCCGCGAGATGGACCAACTCGCGTACGTCTGCACTTCCGGTGGCGGTTAAAAAAGGAAATTAATCGCGACGGAAGCCAGGGAAGGCGGTATGAGAGCCGCGAAGAAGTGATCGGCGAAGGTGGTGACGCCGAAGACGTCGGTGATCGCGTCAAGATGACGTCACCGATCCTGGCGTTGCTCGGCTTGATTCTGGCGACCGCCGGCGCTGAGCTGAGCTCAAGGATCGTCAGGACTAAGTACGGCGAGTTGTCGGGCGTGATCGTTACCCTCGATCGGAACCTCGAGGGTGTCGAGGTGTTTCGCGGCGTGCCCTACGCCTCGCCGCCGATCGGCTCGTTACGCTTCATGCCGCCTGTCAGCGGCGCCCTTTGGTCCGGCGTGAAGGTCGCCGATAAGTTTGGACCCGTCTGTTCCCAAAAGCTACCCGAGATCAACGATAAGATGCCCAAGGGCAGGGCGGAGTATCTCAAGAGGCTGCTGCCCTACCTCAAGAACCAAAGCGAGGACTGCCTGTATCTCAACATTTATGCGCCGGTCCAAGGTAATCTTCTCTTCTGTTTTTTACGAAGCGAGAGAGTGAAAGCGGCCGTTGAAATAATTGAAAGTTTACGAAGGTATACGAATGCTTAATTAAGGGATTATTTTTTGGAGCACAAAGAAATAAAAAAATTTATATTCTTAGTAATATTTTTTTTTTTAGTATCCGATAATATTAAACACACAATCTAAATTAAAAAGAATTATAATTATGTTTTGTTAAATCTTGACAAGATATATCGCTTTAATCGTCAAATGCATTTATTATGCGCCATATACTCTAAAGTGAAGATATGAGAAACAAATAAAATACGCTAGAATTCATTCATTAGCTTTGAAGCATTATCGGATCCAATGCACTTTGATACGCAACTAAATAGTAATTAAGCTGTGGATTTAATTTTATTTTAAACGGGGGAATCAAACGAGCGCAAAAGGACTCGAAGGATAAAGTCCTATTATCAGTACACAATTTTCCGCGGAAACGGATTCGATAAACGCGTCCATCCATAGACAGATAATCCCGCATTGGGCGTAGTTTATTTTCCAGATATCCAATTTACTTGTACAAATCGCAACGCGGGATATAACGTGGGTCTCTTTTTATTCCGATCCCTGTAAACTTGTAATCAACACAATAGTAACAAACGCGAGGAGCGTTTGATATTGAGTCAAGTTGCAAATGCGCGCCGATCCCATTTTACATCTCATTCGCCTTTAGCGCATCGGCAGCAAAAAAAAAATGCAGCTTGTGCCTCCAATTACTGTGCAATACACGATAATATACGGACGCTTGTTTTGCGCAAAGTACCAAGTAGATGATAATACCGTTTCCGACGGTAGTTAATAATCCTCCTCTCTCTTGTACGAATCGTGACGTAATTCAGGATTTTAAGATGCGATTTTAAGCGACACGTGACGAGTACACGTTTCGCATAAAGCAGCATATCCGAGCGCTTTATGTTCGTAAAAGCGGAGATAATATAGTGCAGTTTCTAGCGAAAGTTAATAATTATCCTTTTCCGAGAATATCAACGTAAAATAGAAACTAAAATCTCTTTAGATTTGATGTGGATTAAATTTTAACTGTGGGATTTTACGATATATATGTAGTATACGATGGTTCGAGATAACTGCGTGCACTTGACAAATATACAAAAGTTACTATTACGTAAACACTTTTCTTATAACGGGAATAATTTGCGAAATCTCTGCGTCGTGAACGTAACCTCGTTAAATCGGCCAATTATCTTGCGATCTCTGAAGAAGAGGCTCGGGAGAGAAAAGATGACGGGAATTCCTTTGTGCACTGTCTTTTCTCGTTTCTTCTGCATAGCAATTGTAGCCAAAGAAATCTGTGTCGATTCTTTGTCCGCCTTTCATCGACGTTTCTTGATGACGAAAGCGCCTCATCATATTTCTCGCGAGCGGAAGAAGGTGCATTAATCCCGGTAGGAGATACATCAAGCTCGCGCGCGAATCACTTTAATATCGGATAAATATAAAGCGAAGCATGTGAGATGAGTACGCTGATATAACTTGTGATGCACACAAGTCTTAGTATCACAAGTCTCAGTCTTGTTAGAAAGAAGATGGTTAGCGTTATGTACTCTTTGAACAGCGGAAAAATCGAGAGATGGAAAATAAGATAGCTATTCTTATTACCTTTTAAAATACATAATTTGCGTTTAATTAAATTTTTACATAAAAATTACATGTGTAAAGTAACAAAGCTTAGATAAAATAAAATAGTGTAATTAGATAAAACGAAGGTAATAAAACTAAAGTTGATTAAAATGAAGCATATAACGTAGAATACGAAATAAAAAAACTTACAATTCGCTATTGTAATACAAGGAAGGGAGGAGAAAGGGGGGGATTTAAAAATATATTTCCCTTTCTTTTTCTCATATAACATTTTTTACGAGAGTAGGAAACATATTCTGATAATACGGTCGGACACTTTTGCATTTTCTTTCCCTTGTAGAGAGTTACATATAGCCCAAGTACTGGCAAAGTTTTTCACCCGTGTATTGCAATGGCGGCTTGAGTATGCGTGGTGGTGCTACATGGTGGAAACTTAATAAGAAACTTTATAATCACCTCGTGCTTAGAGAGATTAAAGCTCGCGAGGAGTAACTTTCCGCGCGGACTTAAGTAACAAAACTAGATAATAGTTTCGAAGCCTAGGCAAGAGCTGATCAATCTTTGCTATTCCGGAACCCAGGCTTTGAAAATATAACATTAATTCAATTAATTCGCGAATTTTCGAGCCAAAAATCCGTCGTGTTCCGGTATCGGATATCAGGGAGGGAAAAATTTGCGCGCGCTTAGAAAATTGTCTGTCGGAAACGGATGAAAATTTGCGAAAAT